AAGGAGCCCCTCCTCCTGGTCCCAGACATCTGGCGTCTCGATCTGTTCGAGACACGGGCCCCGATCTCTCGACCACCTCCCCGGAACGAATTTTTCTATCATCCACAATAAGTTTTTGACGGTCCCGAGGCCCAGTGAGGGCCCCGAGAGGCCGAAAGCATTGAAAAGCCTCCGTCTCAGCTCTTTCGATGTGCCAGATGTCTGGGATCCTGTCGGCAGACAGCACCTGGGCAACCACGTACTGCGGGTGCCCCTCCCGCCCCGCTCCAGGCCCAGAGGCTGCAGCCGCTGCGGCCTTGGCCTCCTCGCCGTCGTTGCCGCCCGCGCCGGCACCGGCCGCGGCGCCATCGGACGCCCTGCTCTCCTCGACCTCCTGGGGAACAGATCAGGGTATAGACACAAACCTCCGGAGCTCCGCGAGGACTTCTTGGATCGGCGCCGGGCCCCCTTCCCTGGCGCGCGGAGCGCACCAGGGGCGGCGCCGGAGGCGGCGCCGTGGGGGTGCAGCGCCGATGCAAGAAATCTGCGCGGACGACCGAAAGACTGTGCATGTCTTGAGCTGCAGGGACCGACCGTCCCGGCATTCCTATATGCCTACCGCGAAATTTTCTGAGAACCCAAAAATGTTCTTAGAGCCAAAAGAATGTTCTTAGAGCCCGATTTGTTAAAACAAGACAGCCTCAGCCAGACATTGTTCTACGAACATTTCGTGCAGACCACGAAAGGCTTTTAGAACAGTCTTTGGTGGGTCTATAGTCGGGGGCCTTCCAAGGGGGGGGGACCCTGAGGGGGGGGTGATTTCGATCCGCTGGTGCATCGAATTTCCGAAAAACGATGCTCCCCGCGCGCCCCGATTGTCGACACCTCTCGGGTTCCGGCGGCGGCCGGAGACCTCGTTTTGCCTAGTTTTTCTGCGGTTTGATGCGCCAACGGACCGAACTCCCACCCCCCCTGTGGCCCCCCCCCTTGCGAGGTCCCGAGATGGGCGAGCCAGGACGCTTCGCCACTGCTCGAATGTCAGTTGCTGCTCCCCGAACCTCGCTCCACTCGGCCTCGGACGCCTGGCACTGGCTCTCGGCATCGCTGGCGGCAGGGGAGCCCCCGCCCCGGCCCTCCTCGCCGCCCTGGCCCGCCGCGGTGCGGGGCCTTCCGTACCGCGAGACGTAGGACACGAACCGCGCCTTCTCGGAGCAGCGCTCCGTCGTGTACCTGGCGTCCTCGTGGGGCGCGCGGGCGCGGACGCGGACGCGCACGCGGCCGGCGCCGCCCCCCGCGTCCGGGAGCAGGCCTCGCTCGGCGCACTGCTTGAGCACCCAGAGCCGGCGGTTGTTCAGGCTGCAGTACAAAGGCGCCTGGTCTCAGGTCGGGCGCGCCCCGCTATACCGGGGGATTTGGGGCGAAAAATCAAAAGCAGTCAAAACATGTGCAAAAAATGAATGTGAAATAGTCGACGAACCGTCCTCAGACTATTTTTCAACTATTTTCGAATCTTCCTCCTATAGAGGGGTAGGCCCGACTGGAGCCAAGTATCAAAAATAGTCCAACACATTAGCAAACGATTCAAACATGATTTTACCATAGTCGAACAAATCGTTCCCTGACTTTACTTATACATGTATATATACACATATATGGATACACAAGACTACAATGGCGCTTCGCGCCATGCACCTTGGTCCTTGAAGTTTGGCATGCAGGCGGAATAGCAGGAAGGTCAAGCCGACAATATAGCGATAACTCCTCGTTGCCTTTTCCGGCATCGCCGCTATAATAATGTTATGCGTGATCATTCCTCCATGCTTCTTTTTCTTCATTTTCGCCATACCCTGCGCATTCTCCCCATCCTCTTCAGCTCTATTTGCGGAGGCTCAGAGCCTCTGGGGGCCTCACAAAAATTGTTTCAGGCTTTCTTAAGGCCTTCTGGAGGCCTCCTGGGCGTGTTCTGGGGGCCTCTGGGGGCTTCCTCGGGCCACCCTGCCTCCGACCGCGGTCTCCCTGAACGACCGGGTCACGATTTGGAATGTTTCGGAGGGTGTCTTGGGGCCATCTTGGGCCGCCATGGGGCTCTCTTGGACTGCCTGGAAGCCCTTTCGGATGGTTGTGGGGCGATTTGGGAGCCTCCCAGGCGGCTTCGGACGCCCAGAAGACCGCCATCTTGGTGCGTCGGGAAGCCGAAAAAAGAACCCCAAAATTCACCAAAAACCAACAACAAATCTATGATTTTTGCCTCTTGGGGCCTTCTTGGGAGTGCTCTTGGAGGCCTCTTGGGACGTTTCGGGACGATCTTTGGGAATATGACGGCTTCTTGGGGGTCGTCGTGGACCGTATTGGGGCTCTCTGGGGTCGTTTCGGGAGCGCGCCAGAACGCCTGGAACCCATCTAGGGCCGTCTTTGGACTCTCATGAGGTTCTCCCGGGTCGTCTGAAGGGTTGCCCGAAGGCCCGGGGAGGGCCAAATTCGTTAGGGAGGGGGGGGGCAGTGCGCTGGGGTGTGGGCTCCCCGGCCCTATAAAAATATGTATCAGGAATGTACATACATACATACATACATACATGCATGCATACATACCTACCTACCTACCTACCTACCTACCTACCTACATACATACATGACATTACATGGCATTACATGACATTACATGACATTACATGACATTACATGACATTACGTGACATACTATGACATTACATTACATTACATTACATTACATTACATTACATTACATTACATTACATTACATTACATTACATTACATTACATTACATTACATTACATTATATTGCATTACATTACATTATATTACATTACATTACATTACATTACACTACACTACATTACATTACATTACATACATTACATACCTACATTACATACCTACATGCATGCATGCATACATGCAGACATACGTACGTACATACATACACACACATACATACATATGTATATATAACAAACATATAAACATCTTTTCTGAGTTTTCCTCCTGTAGAGGGACAGGCCCGACTCGAGCCTCGTCCCCCGCGGTGGCGAGCGGCAGCACCGTGATCGTGGGCAGCTCGTGGGCCTGGAGCTCCCCCCGCTCGATCTGCGCCAGCGTGTCGCGCACAAGCCGGCCGCAGCCGGTGAGGGGCGGGCGGCGCGCCCGAGGGGGAGGGCCTCGGTCGGGCACGTCCTGCTGCAGGCGGTGTTGGACGAACAAACAAAAATAGTCTGAACATATTCAAAAGGTAACCAAGAATGGCCAAACAAATCGTCCCCAGAGTGAATGTTTTTGACAATCTTTGAATATGTTCCTCCTGTAGAGGGGCGTGCCCGACTTGAGGGTGGGCCCAGTGGGCGGCGAATCCTTGAGATCTGACGCTGCAAAAAAAATGCAGCATCGCAAAAAAAACACGCCTCCTCCTCCTCCTCCTCCTCCTCCTCCTCCTCCTCCTCCTTGACCCCGGACCCCATCTTTCTGAGTAATTTATCGAGCTGGATCGATGTGCGAGGGCCCTGGGGCCCGCCATCGAGCGAAGGCGCCCGTAGCGAAAGAATTGCAACGCCAGGATCTCAGGGTTCGGCGGCAAGTCCGTGTCGTGACGGCGGCGTCAGCCTCTGGCACCGCGTGGGCCGCTCACCCGGCAGCCACATCGCGGCGCTCCGACCGCGCGGGCGTCGGCCGGTTCTCGGCCGCCAGCGGCACTCAACCTTGAGCGCCCTGGCAGACGTCGCCGCCGCGTGGACGCGGCGCCAGCCTGCCGTTTCGGGGCGAGGAGCTTCTCTGGCTGCCTACCAGGCCACCCTAAGCCCACCACCCGAAGACCCGCACTTCGGGTTGGGGGTGTACGGGTTCCAGATGTGCTTCCTCCATGGGCTTCGGGTGGGGCTGAGGTGGTGTTTGGCGGGGGGGGCTTCTCAGGCAGACGCCCGCCGGCCCTCCCAGGGGGGGGGGGGGCCCTCTCGGAGGCCCCCGCCCCCGCCTCAGAGGCTTCCCGTCTCAGAGGGGCCGCGCCCCGCGAGGCCGACCCCCTCGGCGAGCCGCCGGGCAGGTGCGCGCGATCTTGGCGTGCGCGAAGCGGATGCGGCCTGGCTCGAGCCACGCGTGCCCCTCGCCGGCCTCCCCGCCGTGGCTGGGCAACGGGGGAAGCGAGCCCCGAGGGAGCCGGAAGCAGGTCGGGCATGTCCTCCTACAGGGGGATTTAGGACGGAAAATAAAACCTATCTAATTAATACTCCCAAGTGGTCGAAAATAATACGAAAAATCCTCCCCTGACTATGTTTTGACTATTTCTGAATGTCCCTCCTGTAGGGGGACGTGCCCGACTTAAAGCTGGAATGAAAGCCAAACAAAAACATGCACATAAACTTTGGCGCTCCGCGCGGACTTCTTGGATCTGCGCTGGACCCCCCTTCCTGGCGCGCGGGGCGCGCCAGGGGCGGCGCCGGAGGTGCCGCCGGGGGGGCCCAGCGCGGGTCCAAGGGAGTCCGCGCGGAGCGCCACAAGTTTATGTTTATGGCGTTTCTTCTGCTTCGATCTTCGTCCTGAGCCCTCGTCCGACAGCCCTGGAGGCCGTGGAAGGCCCTGGCAGGCCAAAGGCAAGGAACCAGCAGGACCCGCGTCCAGAGGAGCAGAAGTCGTCTTCACAAACACCAGCTCGGCGGGGAGGGAGCCCCCTCCCTGGCGCGCGGGGCACGCCCGGGGCGGCACCGGAGGCGCTGCCACAGGGGGGCTCCGGCGCCGATCCCAGAAATGCATGCAGAACTCCGAGAGCTTGTACTTACGCCAATCCTCGAGGTCCGACGTTGCCAGAAAATTGAAACATCGCAAACAAGCACGCCCAGACCCCCGAACCCATCTGTGTGCGTCATGTTTCGAGCCAGATCGATCCGTGAGAGCCCCAGGGCCCGACATCGAGCGAAGACTGTTGTGAAAAGACTGCAGCGCCAGGATCTCGGGGATGCGTCCTTCTTCGAGGGCCCCTCGGGGCCCGGTTGCTCCGTGGCCGACGCCGCGCTGCTTGGGCTGCTGCTTCTTCTTGGGCATGCCGACAGGGGCCCCTGGCAGCTGTCGGGGGCAGCGAGGGCGGGGGAGCCGGCTCCCAGGGGCAGCGAGGGCTTCACCACGAGCATGGATCGGCGACGCGCCGCAGACATGTCGGCGACGGGCCCACTCACTGCGAAACCGCACGCGCCCGCGCGGGGTGGGCCGCCAGGTCCCCATCGGCGACGGTGGGCGATGGGGGGGTCGGTGCAT